GATGAAGATTTGGGCCTAATGTTTGTATTTCTCATCTTTGGGTGGATGATGGTGACTCAATGGGTTTTTGGAGTGCCATTTTTAACATGGTCTTTCTTCGATAAGTTGAGTTGGGAAAAAAATGCTTGAGAATTTGATCGTGACCATGTTCTATTTGCTTGTGGATATTCCTAGAATGTTCCTCAAATTTGATTTTTCATGTGGTCTATCATGGGGAATCATATTGTGAGAATGAACTTTTTTTTTTAGCAAGGTCTCCTATTTGTCCACTTGGCTTCATATTGCCGAGTAAATTTCCATTTTTAGGGCATAATGCTCTTTGTAATCAATACTTATCCATCAACTGTCCACGTGACAGTGGTTATTGCAACATTCTTCTATAAAATAAAATGCATGCTAAATTTATGCCAGCAGTACCGATGATCGACATTTGACGTAGCAATTGTCACTACCACATTCTTCAATAAATTAAAACAACTCAATTTTATAGGAGAATATGTCAGATATCGCATTGACCAATAGATGGTTGTTTCCAGTGAAATCCCTACAAATATCATTATGCTAAATTGATAGGAAATTGTGGCAGTTACAATAATTCTACAGACTGCTAATAGGTAAGCATAGATTGTTGTTTGTAGTGCAATACCTACAAATATCATTACTCCAAATTTATAGGAAAATGTAGCAGTTACTTTACTTCCATAGACTCTGATAAGTAAACACTGCATACAAATAATATTACTCTATTTTAACATATAGCTTACAGACATATATACATAAATATGTGCACATGTAAAACTGCACATCACAATAAGAGCCTATTAGGCTATCACTATAGCAAATGACAATGACAATGACAATGACAACCTACTTGATTATCCATTAAGAAAAATGAAAGGAAATGTGTAATGTAGAATTTTACATCGATAATGTTCCCTGGAGTGTTTGAAGGGTAATACTACATGTACACACATATTTTTACATAATCTTTTACACATCTCTNTACACACATATTTTTACATAATCTTTTTCACATCTCTTACATGTAGGGGGGTCCACGATTATTTTATTATGTGTGGGCCCTCCGCCTTGTGAGGTGGGTGTAAAAAATTGTGTAAAAGACTGTGTACACTTAGCATTATTCGTGTTTGAAATGGTTGGCAGCCACATAATTACTACAAATGATCTTTACTCAAATGTGAACATGATCATCCTCAATCATCATAATCTTTTTGTTTTCTTCAGCAGAGTGTTGGCTTCCCAACACATTAGTTTCCTCGATTGCTCTTAAAAAATGTGTAGCTAAATGAAGGTTCGATTTGGCCTCTTCCTTTTAATAACAGAAACTATGTGCAAGTCAAATTTTGTGTGAAAAACACGCCATGGAGCTTGCAACAAAATATATGCAAAGCAGGCCATGTAGATGATTGGCCTACATGCTTATAGCGACTGATTTAATTAACAGCTTTCTCGACTTGGTAGATGATTGAGCTATGAGTCTCTAATCGAACTCTGAACCCCTGACTTGTATTGAGAATGGATGATCGGATGAAAATCTGCAAAATCAAAACATCATCCCCATCAAAATTATACATGGCATGTCTATAGAAAAAATAAATAAACTAATTTGAAGATACGAATAAACTAATGTTTTTATCTCTATCATTTTTAACTTTAATGATTTCAAAAAAGGAAGGAGCTTTAGCAATTTAACAATATATGAGTTGCTTGCTCAACACATTAAATATTTATCAAACTAGTTCTTGGGATGTGCGATGAATACAGTGTATTGTATTAGAGTATTTAATAGATGGAATTACCAAATTCTTGTTGTAGTCAGCCATTTTTTGCTCATGGGTCTGCAAACGCTCAACCTCCTCTCCCTCCATCCCTTCCCTCAAAATAAGTCTGTATACCAAAAAGGAAAACAAAGACACGTTTCCCCTCTCCTCTTTTTGCCCGAGCTATTGGAAGGGAAGAGACGCATGTTCCCCCACTGAAAAGCAGAACAAACACCTTAACAGCTTCACAACAACAAAAAAGGAGGAAAATCGTATTATTGATAATTACATTCAATTAATTTTGATAAAATTCACATGAAGCCCCAGTTTTTACACGATAATTCTTCTTGAAATCCTAATTTTACCAATTCGATTAACTCACTCTAAATTCAAAATTTTTAAAAAATTTGAAGCCAGAAACATAAATTAATGAAGATTGTTGGTTGGTTCTCACCTTCAGTCTAGTTTTTTGTGATAGTGCTTGCTTGTTGTCTTCTTCCTACATTAATTAAAATAAAATAATAAGTCAACATAGTTGCCAAGTTTTAAGTACAAAAAAGTTGTATAGCTTAATCCCAACTAACATCTCCAAAGCTCTCATCGTCCTCATCACCATTAACCTCAAACTTTGACTCGTCGGACTCATCTTCAGCACCTCCAACCTATAAAAATAGTTCGGCACAGTGTTTGAGTATTGCAGTCTAAACTAAACAATGCATAACTCTACGCTTCTCATAGATGGATTACCAAAT